GATGCCCTAACAGTGTCCAAAACTTACCTCTTTGTGTTCTAGGTTTCCCACCATAAAAACTATCATTTTCTGATAATTTTTAAAAATTTAAGCTATCTACTGTGTTGTGTGTTGTAGTACACACTACACAAGCCACGACTCACGATGTAGTGAGTAAAATGTCAATTTTGCTCCCCTTGATGCCACCTCACTTGATCCGACTTTCATCCTAACTCAATTTAGAGTCAAAAATGACCCAAAAAGTTAATTAGAAATCCAAAAATATATTTAAATTAATTAATCATTTTTTAACTAATTTATCCCTTAATTAGTCAATTTTTTTATATTTAAAATTTTTAGATGTTACACTTTGCATCTAAGTCTAATTCTTATTGTCGAACTATCAGGTAGTGGTCATATACAAGCCACGGACCTCTAATGAAAGCATATTTGTTGTCCTCCTTTCTAGTTTGTAAAATTTTGGCTTTCAATGAATATGCAAAAAAATGTTCAAATATAAGGTACATTTTATGTAAAATTTTAACACCAAAACTATTTTTTTAGAATATGCAAAAAGTATATCCAAATATAAAGTGCATTTCATATAGAATGTTAACACAATTTTTTTTTCATAATATGCAAAAAGCATATTCAAATCTATGAACAAAAATTGCATTTTGTTAAAGATTAATTAGATATTTTGGAAGAAACATTGCATGTAACATCTGAAAAAAATAATCATAATTAATTAGCTTAATGAATATGATTAGTGAGTTAAAGAGATATGTGGCCAAAGGAGTCTAATAGAGGTAATTAATTATAATTTTAACCCTAGATGTGGGTTTGAAGTGAAGTCAGGCTATCGAGACAAGGAAAGAAGTGGAAAAGGTAAAAAAATGCTCTCTGTGCCACATGTCATAGTATGTGGACAATTTGTCGCAGCGCACAAAGATAAAATTAACATGATTGGGCCTCTCTGTATCATGTATTGCGACGCACGGTCAAAAATCAAACTTTATCAATTCGTGTTTGTGTGCAAAAATAAAAGAAGAGCAAAGAAGAAATCGAATAGCACGACTTGGATCTACTAGGCATACATGTGGGGACCCTTGAGGATAGTTAGAGGCTTCCCAACACCTAAGGTAAGTATAATGAGCTTTCTTCCTTCCTTCTACTTCCATTTTATGAGGATGTAATTTAGGGTTTAAGTTGGGAGATTAATTTTTAGTCCATATGAGCTATGAGTCTAAACACATTGACTAAAATAGATATCATGGAAGTGATTTAGAGTATTTAAATCTTACATTAATGATTTTATGTATGATTAGTCAAGGGGAGCAATTAATATGCAAAAATTGATATAAATGAGGTTGTTGGGAGAGTTTAGTGCTCATTATTGCTTATTAAATAACTTATTAATAGTAAGATGAGTCAATAGAACCTAAAGAATCCAATGGTTATGATTGGATGTGATTTTATGATATTGATAAGAAGGGATATAAAGAGTCTAGTGTTAATTAATTCCTTTAAGTGGGATAATGATGTTATCCTTGTGGAATTGATTATAGATCATTGTTATTGGCACCATTCAAACTCGTGAGAAGCTTTAAAAGTGTTTGTTGTGAGGGGTAAACTTTTAACCTCTCAAAGGTTTGAGATAATTAAAGGAAACCTATTCTGTATAGTTGTATATTAATTAAGTTAATTGTTAAAATTTCACTTGTTGAAGTTTATTTGATATTAGAATCTATGGATGCAAATTCTAGCAAAATGATGAACTTGTAAAATGATTGGAAAAATGAAAACCTTTTGCGTGCCACCTATTTATGATATATGAATTGATTTATGGCATGTTGTTGTGAAAGTGATAAAATGTGACATGTGACATGTTGAGTATATGGAATATATTGAGTGAGGGTGTATGAATTCACATGACATGAATTGGTTGGGTTGAATGCATAAACATATAAGTTGTGCATAGCATGATTATTGATGAGAGTTTGCCTAAAAAGAGGAGTACATGGTCAAATCCATGTAATATTGGCAGTGACCGTTAGAGTTGGAAACTTGCCTTGGCACCAACTGTTAGAATCAGGAGGTAGCCTGTGTCTCATGATTGATTCAGGACTATCCTACTTATTTTATGAGAGACTTGAACCTAACTAGTCTCTATCGATTTATAAGGAAGCTAGATTAGGGGTACGACATCCCATAGTTGTTAGTATTAAGGGAAATTATGTTACACAATTGAGTGAATTAACTCTGGTCCTGTAGCTCTCACAAGTGAAAGGTTAGGTTAGTCCGTCAAGAATGTAGCCACATAATATCTACTGGTTTCATGTCAAAGGTAATAAGAGGGTATAAGGCTGGTATTTGATCATGCATTTGATCTAGCCATATGGTTGTTATTATTGTGGTCCGACATGTATTAAGGGTTCATGATTGGTATTACTGCGACCCCATGATATACATTATCATTTATGTGGTTATATATATGTTTGGCTCGATCACATGGTTGTTAGTATTGTGAACCATGATTATGTTCATCATTTATGTCATATCTACATGTTCTTGCTTATTTGCATATATTCTCAATTGATATGTAATTATGTAGATTAGGTGAAACTTAGTTACTAAGTGATTGTACTCACCCTTCAATTCTCAATATTTTTAGGGTTTAGCTTATCGGATCAAGGTAGAGGAAAACACACAGAGGAATAGGATTTGTAGAGTAATCCTTTTGCATGCTTCTCCTTGTAATTTTATATGTATAAATGTTAATTTGATTGCCAACTAGGACTCACATGAACATTTTTGTACTACTTGCATTATCATTGTCACACTTATGTATTTTGTGTTCTGGGTTAGTGAGTTTTGGTTGTAAACCCTTGGATAGGGCCAAAATATTCATGTAAGTAGAAACATGTGTATTTTAATTGATTTAGAATGAAAATGAATTGTTTGTATAAAGATTCATTCCCTTTGTGTTATATGAATAGTGGGGTTAAGTGGTGAATTTGTAATTTATATGTTTTTAGCTAAATGTGGTGTGTTGCAAGAGTCTTTTAAAGTCTGTTGAGTGTAGTTGAGTGGTCAATGTAAACTTTTAACACTTGTGCATGAGTTAGGACACAATTGTTGTGATTTATATGTGAAAAAGTGGTAAAATGCGTTTTGATATTCAACTTTTCGTAGAAAATGAATTTGAGTATGAAACTTGTGCCATTAGTTAGAGCTAATATAAAGCTCCATGTAGACATTGAAACTGTCTCAATCAGATGGAGATTTGAGATGCATCAAAAGTTTGCCCCAGAAGTCATTTGATGACAAAAATCTACTATCATATTACATGCAATGCGCCACAGTACATGGTGCCTACACCGTGGCACAAAGATGGGTGAGCTGTGGCACATTGAGCCTTAGCAACGGCGCATGTCACATTTTCTACACAATTTTACTGTTTTGAGTTTTGAAACTTAATGTTTTGGGTCCCATATGATTTTTGCGCTTCAGCATTTCTTTAAAGCTCTCTTTTAAACAAGAGGTGAGTTTATGGGAGAGACTTTAGTATTGAAAGATGGGATCTCTTGACAAATGGTTTTGAACTTGGTTCTCCCAATTGTTCATGTATTTGCCCCATTCAAAATTTAAAAACTTGGTTCTATTCTTTGTGGATTATGAAAACTTGGTAATCCCTAATGGGTTTAGTCTTCTGATTACCTTGATTGTAAAGTTAATGATGTTTAATGGGTAAGAATATTTCATTGCACATGCTTCCATAAATAATAATAGGGGATATTAATAAAAGGTATTCAAATAAATATAAATGATATTTAAATATATAGCAGAACATTGCATTCCATTGAAGATTACTTGCATATCATGAAAGAAATATTAATATCCTTTCTAATAAACATAAGAGATATTTGAATATCACTTGTGGTAGAAATTTGCATTTAGCTAAAGATCACTTGCATATTATGGGAAATAAAAACATTGCATATTCTTCTAAAGGCACTTATAATGGATATTAATAGGGGATATTCGAATGTACATAAGTAATATTTAAATATGTAAAAGAAAATTACATTTCATTAAAAATCAATCGCATGTCGTGAAAAAGATATTACATATGCTTCCAAAGGTAGATATAAAGAATATTATGAGGGATATTCTTTTTTTAAAAAAAATTCCCCTAACCTAGCCATTTTTCATAAAAAAAAAAGGAGACACAATGTTAGGTTTAAACTCAAAACTTCTTCCAAAAAAGAAATGTGGTGTTATTGTTAGGACAACTAATCATTGACTTTAATGAGGGATATTTCAATGTGCATAAATAATATTTGAATACATAAAAGAAATTTTTATTTCATTGAAAATCACTCACATATCATAAAAAAACATTACATATTCTTTGTTAAACATATCGTGAAAAAAACTTTACATATGCCCTATTGAAGATGATTTGCATATTGTGAAAAAACATTATATATGACATATTGAAATCGAAAAATCTTATACTTCAAAATTTAATAAACTGCCACTAAAAAACCGATATGATACTAAAAGACCTTATATTACATATTGACACAAAATTGTTAGCCATGAAGGACCTCATGAAATTATAACAACAAAAAACCTTGTACAACATATTATCAACAAAAGACCTGCTCAACCTTTTATTTATTTATTTATTTTTTGTTTGGGACACTTTGTTATTTAGCCTTCAATCATTATTGATAGAGAAGAACCACATTTAAAAAATGTTTCGAAGACCTTATGAGCAATTAAATTGGTGGTGAAGTCTTTTTTCACAATTTTCCCAACTAAAATAAATACTTTTTTTTTTTAAAAAAGAGAAATACTCCAATTCCATTTTCTATTCAAGTACATGTTTCATTTTTCTTTATTTTTTTTTCATCACCAAACATTGCCTTATTGTCACAGTGTCATGGATTTTTAAACAACCATGCATTAATTCCGAAGCGTAAAACACCAGGGTGCAAGACACTTCTTCAGTATTTTTCATTTGTCTGGGGAAAAAATCAAACTTTATTATTTAGCTAACTCGGTATTTAGTATTTACAATCACGAGCTCGGAACAGGACACCCTGCACTCCAGAATCCAGGGAGAGAAAGGATCCGAGAGAAGGGAGAAACCCTAATTTAACTCATGGGTAGGCTAGTGGAATTCTAGATATTTCTAACAGGGTACACAAAATTTGGGGAGGATGGTCGATGGGAAAACCTGTGATGCGAGACAATGATGTTGGGGGTTAAGCTCGAAGAAAGAATTTCCAAGATTGAATTGAATGGATCACCAGCCTTTTAAAACCATAAAGGTGATCGAAGAATAGCCTAACCAAAGAAATGCTGCTATACAGATATTCACAGAAAATAGCTCAAAGATCTCATTTTTCTGGATCCACCTTCCCCGTAAAGGTCATTCCATTGGAGCAGCTCGTTCATATTTGTTGACTCTGACGACACGCTTGCACACACCTACACAAAGGGAGATTATGTAATATGCATTACTATTTCAAACCATTAAGAGCAATGTCACGCCATACATGAACTCCACCAAAGCATTTCCATCTCTGACAATTTACATGACCTTGAATGAATAATTCTTTTCTAATCAGTTCCTATGCCAACACATGATTTAAGGGGTCAAGCATGAACAGGATATAATCATTATTTTAGAACAAAAAATTTCCCGTTTCGAGAGAGAGAGAGAGGATTGACCACAATTAGCAAAGAATCGATGTTCAATACCAAATTATAGAGCACATTCCTTCACTGTTTAGAGGATACAATGTGATTAATAGAATGACGGGGTTTTAAGTATATATTTTTCCAATATCGCCTTTGTAGAAGACAATCATGGCGAAAAATGACTACTTCTAACAGGGGAAACAAAAATGAAAGCATATTCCTTACTGTTGAGAAGCTACAGCGTAATTCATGGAATGTAAGTCTTCAGTATATTTGAACATCAACCTCCCCCATAAAAAATGTTCAAGAATGACTACTCCAAATTGGACAAAACTATAAAGAAATCAAACCATCCCAATTTGGAGGGGTTTCGTAAAGCAGAGATTTGGGGCCAAAATCCCACCCCATTCTCTGAAACAATGCACTAACAATACAAAAGGCTTGCGTCGCCTGGATCTAAACCAACTTTTCCAGAAAATAAACAAGAGTGAGAACATGACTGACAAAAAAAAAAAAAAAACTGCAATAATGAATGGCATATACCTGCTCAAGTGCATATCTAAAATCCTCCATCTTTAAGGGCCGAATGTCAGTACTGCTAGACAATGGAGGTGAAGGTCTATTCGCAGCCAGTGCCAAACTTCTCTCCTGAAAGATGGGTGTATGTCAAAACGTTAATTCAAGTAATAAACCAGCAAAATATGCAAATATTCATAGCCCCAAGGAAGCTGTAAAGTATTCAACAAAATTAACTATTGTCGTCCACTTGCCAAGATTTTAGGGCAATTCGTATTAAAGATATAAAGTGGAGGAAGGATAAACAACAAAAGCCACTAGCCAAGAAACTTCTACATGAAAAAACACAAGAACGTCGTATGAAAATTACCTTCTTTTCCTTCTCCAATATCTCTCTTATTGGACAGTGAGCTGCTAAGACGCACAGATTCTGCAGCCAAAAAATGAATGATGTTCTATTATTGCAGGCAAAAGCTACTTATTCCAATGACCAACAGCCAAAACATCGCATCAGCCCCTCTTACCTTTAGGTCACTCCCAGAATATCCATCAGTCATGTTTGATATTGCTTCCAAATCGACATCAGGTGCCAGATCTTCTTTTGCTAAAATTACTTTAAGAATTTTTTCTCTGTTAAGAGCATCTGGCAAATTGACCATTAATCTGTATGTTACCCAGAAATATGGAGGGATAAAAATTAGAATAGATCAACTATAAAACATTATATAGATGATGATATCAGACATAACGTGCTTACCTTCGTGGAAGCCTCCTAATAACAGCCTCATCAAGGTCAAAGGGTCGATTTGTAGCAGCAAGTACGAGTATGCGCTCATTGTCTTTTGTACACAGACCATCCCAATTCACCATAAATTCATTCTTCATTTTACGCATAGCCTCATGCTCACCAGGATTTTCACGTCTTCCTAACATACTATCAACCTAGCAATTAAATAATAAGAGTTAATCCTTCAATGACAATAACCACACCCTAAGAACTCCTATGATACGAGACTGTACCGGAAAGAATATTTCACTGAAAAATACACGGGAAGCTTTTACACCAACCTCATCAACAAAAATAACACTTGGAGCAATTTTACTTGCCAGAGAAAATACTGCTTTGACATATTTCTCTCCTTCACCAAACCACTGCAAAGAGTATGCATCATGTCACTAAAGCATATAAAAAGACAATATAACAAAAAATTTATAATGAATAAAATTAACACCTTTGAGGTAATACTGGACATTGAGATGTTGATGAAATTTGCTCCAGCCTCAGTAGCTACAGCCTTTGCAAGCATTGTTTTTCCAACACCAGGTGGCCCAAAAAGCAATATCCCCTTGCAAGGCTAAATAGAAAGTAATTGCATTTAGAAGTTAGAAAGTAAGCATACAAACAACAACAAAACCAACAAGCCTTATTTCATTAGGTAGGGTCGACTACATGGATTGCACTATATTATTGTGCTCTATCATTTATCAAGCTTTTAGGAATGTTGTTAACTAAGAAGTTTTGCTCAATAACTTCCAGAAATGTTTTCTTTGGCTTTTCCTTACCCATCTTTACAAGGCTCAATTATCCCTTCCACTCTTCTCACTGGTGCCACTCACGATCTTCTCTGTACATGTCCAAACCATTTCAAACAATTTTCGAACACTTTCCTCTCAAGAGATGCTACCGTTCATTTTTTCTTGTATTCAGATTTTATCTCTATGTGAATGCCCACACATCCATCTCAATATTCCCTTCCCTGCTACTCTAACTTTATGCTTAGAAAACAAGCATATGGCACACAATGAACAACTTCAAAACAGGTCTCACAAAACAAAAGATAAACAAAAGAAGAGAATCCCAAAATCCCACCTTGGTCAACTGTCCTTTGGAAAACAATTCAGGCCTCTGAAGGGGAAGCATGACCAATTCATTCAAGGTGTCCTTCACATTTTCTAAAGCTCCAATATCATCAAATTTGACCCCAACATCACTTGGAGGAATAACATCAGCAAGCAATTTTTTCTCAAATTCATTCTCAGTAATTACATCCTGTAAAAAAATTAAAAAAAGAAAGAAAATCAGTTCAAAAATTTAGTAAAGAAACCCATCACATAGCATAACGTCCTGAGTTTCAATATCTTTCTCATCCCATATATATTCAAATACAAAATTTTTCTAAAGGCGGTGCAAGGGTATTGACATTTGTTACCTTGATTAAAATGCAGAGAATGAAACCAAGTGGAACCCAGTGAGGCAACAGTTTGCCAAACAATCAAGAATGGAAAAGGACTAAAACTTGTAATATCCTGAGAAATATGATAAAATTACCTTCAGTGATTTCTTTAAGTTCTTGCTTTCTCCTTGGATACCCTGTAGAATGCTCAGCCCATACTTAATGCTGTACCAATGGGGAAAAAGATAATACTCAGTTAATCAGAAAATTAACAGGTTGCAGAAATTAATTTCACTCTGCTGCATAACTTTCATAAGACACTATTGATAAAATGACAAAAAATGATAATACCGACCTTTCAGTAGACAACACGATCATAGAGTCTTTGGTTGATTCTTCAGATGGATGCATTAGGTGGTAACTTAATGCCCAGCCAACAATTTTCTCCACACCTAGTGAAAGAATTGAGGCAGTGTCAGTAAAATTGCAGCAAACCTCAAATTTGTGTATTTAGAAAATTTGTCAAGTTTAGAAACACATACTTTCAGTTCTTAGGGTTTGATCATTAATGCAAAGATTTTCAAGATCAGGGCAAATAAATCCAAACTTGTCAAGAACCTGTAATCATTGAAAATTCTCATTAGAATTTTAAAAAACAAGGAGAAAAATAAGTTATAATATTGAATAAATCATGAAGATAAACGAAAGCATAAAAAACCATGGGCAGATCACATGTTCTCTGAAAATCTTTGCTTATTTAAAATAGCGATTGCTGGCCCTGGCACAAAAGTAGTCCAAGCCAGAAAACAAAAAATCTAAGCAGGATAGGCATGTGAAGTCTTGTAAATGAGAAGTAAACAAGAAAGATTTCTCTGATAATGCTATTTAAAAAGACCTGATCCTCCTACAGCAGGGGAAAAAAAAAGAGCATCATGGCCCCAAAATGCCAACCAACTCAGGCAGATAAAACACCCATAATTTCACGAGGCCTCATCAAAGAACAAGCACCACATAATGCAGCAGTGTAAGCAAAAAAGGAGTATTAAAATGATGAGGTGATATAGCAACACTCACTGTGCGAATGCTGACAATATTAGACTGAGCTTTCATAGTTTCAATGTCATGTTCTAGCTGCTGCTTCCAATAAGAGAGCAAAGCCTCATCCTGCACAAATTTGGAGGAGAAAATGGATACATAATCTATAGATGGAAACATTGTATTTGGACAATATATTTCATCTACCATACTACCTGAGGCAGCTGTATTGATACTTTGTTTGGAAAAAGACGGTTAAGTTGCTTCATCACTTTGGGGGTTTCCTTGCTCCTATCATGCAATCTACTAAAGCTATCCTAAACACGGGAAAAATGTTTCGATTATTCGTGAAAAAGAACCTGACTGTATATAATGAATCCATGATAGCAGAAAATATTTGGAAATCCAACTAGAAAAAAGCCTCAAACTCCCTGGAAGGCATCAAACGTTTTGTAATCCCAAACTAAAAAAGTAGCAGGAGCATAAGCAACCTTGAAAGCTATGGAGGGCTGCAGTCCTAACAGAAAATCAACAACTTTTTGAAGAAATTCTATTGTGGCTTTCCAACAATGTTCAAAAAGAGTTTCCCTTCTATTGGTGAACAAACTCATTCACCATACCAAAACCTCTCTCACGAGCCCAAAAAAAATCAATAGAACCTAAGATCCTCATAATAACTTTTAACAGGCAAAAAATATGAACTAGAATTACATGATTGTTTAAACTGGAGGTTTAAAGCAAAGGCTATGATTACTATACCGGAAAAGCAAGATCAAATAAAGCTGCCCGGGCGCTCACAAATTTTGTGAACAGAAGGCTACTAGGCTGGGTCTGGAAGCACATCAAAATCAGCAGCAAGGATGTGAAATCATAAAGGGCCCATTTTTTTCAGCTTTTTGATGAAAAAAATCACCTTTTTATTAAAACACACTTCTAAGAAATTTTATGATGTTTGTTTAAGCTTTTATGAATATTCAAAATCTTTAAAAACTATATATATCATTTTGAGAAGCACTTTCAGGTACAAATTGCATCTCATAATTCCAACCAATCACAAAATAACTTTTGCTTTTCATAAAAACATCTAAACAATATAATCACTTTTTAATAAAATCTGAATGCCACCATTTTTAAGTTTAAACAATTAAGCACAAAATCCCCAGAACTTGGAAATAGCTATAGAATAAAATCATCAAATGGCACCTTGTCCTTGCGGTAGTCCACTTGGGCATGTGAGCCAATTACAACAACATTTTGTGGCAAACTTTCAAGCCTGCTTTTTAAGACGTCTGAGTTCCCTATCACAGCCTTCTCTATATCTTTCAAGAACAACACCAACCCACCACTTTTACTCTGATCAAAGACAACCTATGCACAGAAAAGCATAAAACATGCTATGTCAATTTGACTTTTTGCAAGAAAAGGACAATTGCTGAACAGGTATTGCACTTTGACCACCTCAAAGATTTCATTAATAGCAAGCTTGTTGGCGTCATCCCCTCCAAAGTTATCTACTCGTAGTAAATGATTAGCTGCAGCATACAATGCATGTATATTTTAACACAACCACCAAAACTGTAGCGTGCAAAATGCCAGCATGCAGACAAAGGAAAAGAAATTAAAATAAACATAAGAAAGCACCAGAACAAAAAAAACCACGATCAGCTTCACATAGCCCTCCAAGATCATTCCCATCTGGAATTGGTTTGTCGAATCTAACCCCAATTTTTGAAGACTCATTTTCTTGAAAAGCAAGAAGAACTTTGCCACGGGAGCCATACCTCGGTCCTCTAATGAGCACAATAGAAGAATCAAGATGAGACCTGAAGGCTTCCCACAACAAAGACATGACACAAGAAACAAATAAACATCTTCAATCACTCAACTTGCCTTGAAGGATAATTTTGCAACAATGAGACTGCAGAGGGAAGCTTGCCAACAAATTTTACTCGCTCACCTGCAAATTATGTAACCATCATCTCATCAGCATTTCATATTGCCACCTAGCATAAGAGAATAAAACAACATGTAGAAATTCAGGATCAACGATTTTCTAAATTCATTTTATGAGATAGGCAAAACATGGCATTTATAGAAATTAAAAGGGAGAATAGACTCCTTCTTTTATGCTAGGAAAATAGACTCCTATTATAATTAAGACACATAACTCTCAAAGTAAGATAACTTTATCAAAAAGTTAAGGTGCAATTAAAATCCCCAAAACTTTTAGTTATGCCCACAACAATTTCCTAATCTTTAATACTTACCAAAAATTCCTTTAATTTTAAAATTTATGCCCAAAAATATATTATTAAATAGTCTAATATTTCACTAATAGAGTATGATAAATCAGTGACTATATACTACCCTAAACTTTATCTTTTTGTAAAAATAACTCTCCAAATTATAGGTAGATAAATCCTTTAAAATCTAGGTCACGTGTAAATAAATTCTATATCATGTTACATTCCGTTATTGAAATAACAAACAAATTAACAATAAAGGAGTTATCTGCAAAATTTTAAAAATTTAGTAAAATTCATTGTCAAGTTTCAAAAGTAAGGGATGCTATTTGAACATGATTCAAAATTTAGGGACGTTATATATAATTTAGCCCAATCAAAATAAGATAACTGTATCTACATTAAAACAGGACACTAAGCTAATTTTAAATTTATAAAAAAGGTAGACAAAAATAGCAAATAATTCTTAGTTAAAGTAAACTAAGGAATAAAACAATTAAAAATAACTCAATGTTCAAATGGGTGATTCTTTTTCTATTTTCCTCATGCTTCACTTATGAGAAATCCTCCTAAAGTAATGGAGAGGTTTACTTTCTGCCAACTCTTGGATGGTTGGCTAGGCAATTTTGTTGGTCGTCTCCCACCTTGTGGTGTGGAGTGTCATTACTTGCCCATATGTTGCCATTTAGGCCATGTAGGCTATGATACCATGCAGTAATTCAGGTTAAGAAGGAGGACAGTTTCCTATTCCAACTCTCAAACATAACTTCGTTCCAATCAAAACAGGATATCTCTAGCATAATTAAAACAGAAAACTTGATTGGATTAAAAATAAAAAAATAAAACAATTAAAAAAATTGGTTGAAATAAATGTTACCTTCCAATAAAATTAGTACACAAAATGGGCACTGGATTTGGAGGGAAAACAAAATACCTGTTTTAAGCATAGGGCCTTTGGATGATGCAGTAGATACCTCCTGCTTCAGCATAACCTGAGAACTTAATGAGGATTCATCAATAAGATCAGCATCGACACTTGAAGTTGGTTTATTATGCTGCAATGTGGCAACCTGGGCACTCTGTTTTGCAGAAACATACACTTTTTCAGGCTTTGAACTTTGCTTGGTAGAATCAGAATCCTTTGATGGTGTTCTCTGAGGATTAATTGCATAGTATAAACAATTATTAAATATGTATGTTAAAGTATCCTGAACAAGAAGAAGGGAAAAGAGTCCCGGAAGAAGTAAAATCAGAGATGAGTCATAAAATTTTAAGATGTAAATTAGATGGCTACAGAACCTAAAAAGAAGAAATAAGAATAACCGAGTAAACATACACCAGGCAGGGTGAAAGAATCCACAACTAATAGCCTAGCACCAAAATGCTTTGCAAGTGCCTTGGACAAGGATTCCTGATATATTTCAGAACCTACAATAAAATTATCTATATCATTTTTTTTTTCATCACAGAAAAGGAAAACCAAAAACATTAAAATTATGGCACTACCTGGAGGACCAGATAACAATATTCGGGGGCACAGTGAAGGTAGGCCTGAAGCAAACTTTGCAAAACCATTTTGCTTCAAATGAATGTGCATAGAAGCAATCAGAGCACTTTTTGTAGGATCACTGTAACAATACAAGACATCATGTTCAAAATACAACAGAAGTAAATCAATTCAGGTAGCCTATATTTGGAGGTCATTAAAAGAAAATAAAACTATTTGCACCTTATATAATACGGGAAATTTTTGAATGACACATCAATATCATCAGGATTGAGAATTCCTTGTTGTAAACTGTTTTTGAATGCTTGCTGCCTGATGTAAACTAAATTAGTTAGAGGATCAACATCCTTGGAGAGTTCTCTTGATTCTCTTTGTTCAAATATTTTGGAAAACCTATCATTTATATTGAATTCAGCACACAGGCCAGCGAGCTTGCACAACAAAGGCCTTAACTCACGTGTGGCTCCTGTCAACCTCCCAACATCCACTTTCATACTGTAAAGGTCAAAATTTTCATTGGCAGTGGCAGAGGATGCAAGAGTAGCTTTCTCAGCAGAAATTTCAGCTGGACTGCCATTATTGGTGGTATAATTTGGGTCGGTAGTATCATCCCCATGGCCAGAAGTTTTTGATGAAGCCTCAGCATTCTGTTGGACATTCTCACTAGTTTTAGAATAAGGTGGAAGAATATATAAATTTCATCAAGATTATTAGAAAAAAAACAATATTGATGCTCCAGCAAGGTATATAAAATATAAACCATGGGCTTCCAGAATACTTACAGAACAAGGTATCCTGGCAGCAGCGACATCATTATTGGTGAGCTGCTGAAAAATCTAAATTTCAAGCTAAGGAATCTAGAGTAGATCCATAGAAGAAACTTAAGTAACACTAGTCCGTGATGTATTGACACAGAAAACACAACTATTAGTTTTCCTCGTGAACACAATCATGTACACATGCAAAAGCGGAGAGAGTGAGAAGCAAACAAATACTAAGGTTACATTTAGTAAAAAGGAAAGGAAGATGTTCAAATGGAGATGAAAAGGGAAGATTGAATTTGGCATGTTTGCTAGGTCCCAATCAGTCTTCTTGGGAATCCCACTCTCCCATGTTTAAAGGAGAGGACTTTCCTCAAAAAGTATGGGAGAGCGGAATCATCCATGAAAAGGATATTTTTGTACAAAAAAGGTCGCCATAACACCTAATCTATTCCAAATTTACCCCTTTCCCTAATTAATCAACACAATTGGATCCCTCACAATGACAAAACCATCAAGAGCTAGCATCCTCAACCTTTGACCCATAGCACCCTTTGAACAAAGGAGTTCCTTGTAATGCAGAGTAACTTTCAAGCCATTGAAGTTCCTTGCAACATCACTGACAGTGAATGGGACAGAGCTGCAAATTCCTCAAAATTGAGAATGATAGGACCAGCAATGTTGACACAGCAAGCAGAAGAGCACAAGCAACAGCATTACCTTTGACAGCATCTCCTCTCCCTGTTGGTTAACCACAATATCTCCCTTTCACTTTCAATGGTGTCTCCTCTCATGATGGCAAAAGGTATACTCTCCTTCCTCTTCACCTTCCCAATCTTCCTACATTTTAGATTTGCACCTTCTTGAAAATGTACCTTATGCTTGATCTCCAGTTGAAGATGGGCTTTAAGATGTATTCTTTATATTCTTGGAATTGTATTCTTTGTATTGTCACAGATCTGCAATTGAAGATTAGAATTGATATTCTGAATTCTGTACATTGTTTTTCTTGGTCTTGTGACTTTTTTTGGCTTTTGAATTTTGTAAATTCTATTTGTTTCATTCTTTTGCATTTTTCGTTGTGCATGTTCTGCATTTTGGTTCACACAAAACCTTAACCTCTTTCAATGTTCTGAGGATGTTGTGCAGGGGTATTTGTGTCTTCTAGGTCTTTTTTTCTTCCCTTCCCTTTCCAATTATGCATACCAAATGGACCAAGTAGCAAGACTCCGTCTCCCTTTCCCAACATACCAAACATGTTTCGGATCCAAATTCCCTTTCCCTTTTCCTTTCCTTGTCCCATTCTCATTCCCATTTTGTACCGAACAGGACCAAATTTCTTCCCAAAACAGCACCCGAAACATATGTAAAAGGATACATAAGCATTCTTGTCAGAACTGAAAACCACCTCATCACCTGCATTCAATATCAGGCTGGAATTTTTTTTGTAATTCCTGCCATTAACTTGGACAGCACCTTTATCCCCTATGATTTCCAGTAATCCAACAGATGAACCTCCATGCTATGTAAGTTAAAATAATCATGGTGGTTAGAGCTCTATTAATGGCTATAACATTTTGATTACAATTTTCTTTCATATAGAAATTCAAGACATGATCTGCCACAGCTGAACAGAAATTCATTGATATCAAAATTTTATATATGGGCATATATGCTTGTGTGAGAGTAAGAGTGAGAGTGCATCTATATGGTAACAGTTAAATTTCTTCAACAATCATGTGCCCGCGCGCACGTGCATAATTTCCCAAAAGGAAAGGAAAAAGACTTCTTTGTCACACCTAAGATGTATAGTCAATGAAGCCTTGGTTACTCAGCTAAATCACATAAATTTCCAAGATATAGGTAGAAGTTTTCTACCTTGGTGAGCTTCAACTTGCACAAAACATCACTAACAGCTTGATCATTAAGCCATAAATTACATTGACGGCCATGACCAACAGTGAATTGAGAACTCCACAAGGACAGATGTTGATTCTGGAGAAGCATGAGAAATAAAAACACATTAACTTCAAATCCTAGAAAAGTTATAGCCAAAATGAAGCACTCTGACCAGAAGAGGGAATCATGAATTGGTTCCCACTTCTCAACTAAATTCATCATTTTCAATTTATAATATGATAAGGAAAATGAAGGAATCAAAACCCTTATTTTGGAGTTCAACAATATCCAGACCAAATATTATAACTAATAGCAGCATTGGCAACAAAAAGAAGTAGAAGAAGAAGATAGATCGGTAGATAGATAAATAGATAACAATGTATTAAAAGTTGCAGATTCATCATATCCTTATTGTTGTGCAGAAGCAGAACAAAAATCTAAGAACAAAAAGAAATTTTTGTTCTCTCTTCATATGAAAGACTGAAACTGAACCTAAGTTAAATCATCAGCACCGCCTTCAACAACAGAAAACTTCAAATTTTGAATGCCAGCCAACCAATTAAAGGCAAACAGTAATAACTAATTGAATTCATCTTTTTTCATTTTTCTCTCATCCTTTATCACATGGAGCAGGTATGGTCATAGGACTCACTTATTTGGCCAAGGACAAATAGAAACAAACTGACAAATCATATCCATTACACAGCATTTGTTGGCTTGAGTCCGAAACAAATGCTAACCAAATCATCTGCTCAGAATACAAAAGATCAAGATCTATGTCTCGAACAAAGTTCCCATTCAAAGAAGTTATGCAACTCTACACTGACTCATGCCAGCTCAATTATCTTCATAAACCAAATCTTTTTCACAAAGTTAATTGTGTGCCCTCAAAATATAACATGCTAGTTGAAATAAACTATGGCATAAAACAATTTCTTCTGTTTTCGGTCAAGCACAAATATCAAAATTTGTCAGTGATGCTAAGATTGCTTTGTTATTTTATTAACTGCCTTATAATCAGATCTAACAATTCGTTACTCCAAGATGGATTGTTACTCATCACTGCAATAAATTATCAGGCTCCAGTAAACCAAATTAACTATTTAACGATAAAATTTCACCCCAGAATCATAAGAAGTGAAACAAGGGGTGGACGATTACCTCTTAGTCATCATCTAGGAACTACGTAGAAAATTAACAAGGCATTTTATCAAGCATGCAACATTGCTGACAAAAATTAGAGGAGGATAACATTTAAGACCCAAAATGCAGAAAAGATTCTGGCATGATATGAAGTTAAAACGATGACGATGATGATACCGAAAAGGCAAGACTTAATGGTTAACTTTTTGAAAGAAGATACACACACACACACACACACACATCAAATTTGATCGCGCAATTTTTTTGCAAAATCTGACAAGAAACAGTAGTACTGAAATCTAGAAACAGATGAGGAACATGGAAATAAACGAAGATTGAATATCCACCTGGGAACACTGGGAAAGAAGCCTTCCCCATGCAGCCTTCGGCCTCGTTTTAGTTGATTTCGCTGAGCGTTTCTTGGACCGGCGTACGGCGGCCGCTCCAACCACCTTTGATTTCTCTCCATCCGCCACAGTTTCACCTGAGCTCGCCCAATTTCATAATGATAAACAGGGTGAGAAGTGGACGCATGCACCCAAATACGAACTCCCAATGCAAATCAAGATAACGCACAAGGACAAAAGAAGGCCATTTCGCACCTCGAGGCTGCGGCGATGTCAAAACCTCGCCTTTGACGACGGCCATGGCGGGAGATTTCTCAGCTAGCGTCGCGTCACAAACGTCCATAGCTTTCAACGAATCGGCATCTGGAAGGTTAGACCGATTTAGCTCCGTCTCTCGGGATTCATTTCCAGGTTCGTTGACCGGACCAAGGATTTCCGCTGACGGCAGACTTCTTGTCGAAGAATCGTTGGGCACCTAGGTTTTGGAGAGCAAAACGGTCAATTCCAGAGGAAAAATTCACGAATTTTCATGGAAAATCCATAATCAGAAGGAAACAATGAAATTCACGTCGAAACGGATTGGCAAAGAGCACAAGAAGCTATAAATAAAATACCTTGGGTCGTTTGACGTTGGAAGAGGAGGATGAAGAGTGAGAGCGCTTGGAAGTGGACGAGCCCCGTCTAGTTTCGACCATGGTGGTGTTTCGTTGTTGTTGTGCTAGGTCCCTCTTCACCCCTAATCCAGCAAGAATCAAAGAGGAACGGAGAAAGTGGCCGTGACGAGGAGACGAATGATTGCGGGAAATCTCGTATCAAGGTTTATGTATTTGTTGGTTTCTTGTGAATCAAATCAAATACAAAAATAAACAAACGTCATTTATTTATTGTAATAATAATAAATTCTGATGTAAGACGATGAAAGAAACAGAATAAGGGAGGTTGCGCGGATGTGACCTGTGAAGCCGTGAAGGGGGGGATTGGGAACGGGAAAAGATGGTCGAGCTTGGGGCTGGTGGGGAGCGGGAGTGATGTCTTTAGAACTTACTCGGAGCGATGTTGAATAGTGAGATATCTGAAGCGGAGGGCTTTGCCGCTTTGGTCAGATGGCATGGATCTTCGTGGTGGGCCCAGAGTCAGTTATTTACTTATATGAACTGAACGGCTTCCATGGTTTCTTGTTGATCAAGAAAAACATTATGTATGCATCACTTTGACAATTTTTTTTTTTTTTTAAAGCCCGCCATGGTCTACCGTTGATAGCTCTAACGGCTCGTTTAACCTAGAAACTGTGATTTGCTTTTTTAAAGAATTACAACTGAGACTCACATGAAAAATTAATTATTATAAAATTTATAGAAGATTTTAATATAATGCTTTTTTCAAGAAATCCCATTTGCAAATTTGCTCACATGACTTCTTTTAGCATGCCACCAAATTTTGAAATTTTAAATATTATAAATTTTATTGATAAAAATAAAATTGCTAGCTTTAAATTTCTTTATAGTGTAGTTTTTTTAGAAATTATAAGCTAATTATGTTATTTATTTGATATGGCTGTAATTATCATTGTCGTGTTTTGGATTAAAGATTTCAGTATCAAAATCCAGAATCATGCATGAATGTATTGAAACATCAAGTTAAATTGACTAGTTGAGCTGGCGATCTAATTTCATGATTGGCTTTAAGCTTTTATTGAATAAAGATTTGACAAAGTTGTTAACCCATTTTTTATTGGGAGAATTTTAACTAAAAATTAGGAATATAATTTTATTGAATTTAAATTTCAATTCAATTCTAAAGAATTTAATTAAAAATAATTTTAATGGTAAAAAAATTAAAATATCATTCACTTGTTAATTTTGTCCTAGATGCACGATTATTAATTATTAATTTTTTATATTATTTATTAATTTATCAATATGAGTTGTAAATTATATGATTTGACATATCAAAAATCATACAAGATTTGACTATCAAATTATTCAGTCAGTTTATCAGATAAGTAATAACATTAATTATTAATTTATTAATTTAATAACATTAACGATAAATGGAATTTACAAGTAATATTTAAATTGTGTGTGATTATTGACAGATCGAGTCATATAATTTATAACTTATATTAATAAATTAATAAGTGAAGTAAAAAAATTAATATTTAATAATTTTACATCTCAAATGAAAATAATAAATGAATGATACTTTGCGTTTTTTTAACTATCAGTGGATTAAACTAAATTTTCAATTTTTTTTTTAATTTGGGACCCGATAGTAGTTAAATCAGAGTCCTTGTGCATAATTGATCTTCTCACTTTTGATTTGGCATTAATTGGTCGAATGGCCGGGCGTATTGACATCAATGGCATCTGTTTGAATTATGCTAAATTTTTGGTGACATCGTAGCTTCATAGCCTGCAGGTGTAAATTACTTTGGTCATTTGAATAATCTCACCGTTAGAGTTACTGTTTGAATTGATATTGTATACACTAAGACATTTCAGGTGCATTTTGTTGCATGAGGAATCAAATCATCCACTGGATGCATAAAAGTTTTTTTTTTAAATTCATATTTTATTATAATTTTTCATAATTTTAAATTCTCTATGAATCATAGTCATAAGAAATTGAAATACTTCAATTCTCTTTTTTTATTTTATGTTTTTACTGTTGATGTCTGCATTAATCCCATCACTCTTCTCATTAATCATTATCGCACCTCACCAACTATACATTTGTCACTCTTCACTTTTAATTTTTTATTTTTATTTATACTTTAAATTTTAACTTGTATTTCTTTCATTTTAAAATTTCTTAGACTATTCAAATAGAGAATCTTAAATATATAAATTTTAAATGTAAGATTTTAAATTTAAAATTGAAACTCAAATTGGTTAATCCAAACCCTAGCTAAGTATAGTGCTCCATTTGGCTCGTGTCTTAGTGGCTTATTTTTATTCCATGTTATCTTTTTCATGGTTATGCATGGATGTTTTTATATGCTTTAATTAAAATTAGTTTAATATATGTAAGAGTGACAAAAAATCTCTATCATTAAAATCCTGCTAGCTTGGCAATACCTTCCTCCTCAAATATAAAACATTTATAAAGAGATTTAATGTCTCAAAATATAAAATACTTTAACAAAGATAATATTTTGGTAATGATATTTTCAATATTATTGATGTCTCCTAATATTTTATTGAATTTATTAGTGTTTTTAATATAATTAAAAATTATTTATTTAAATTTACTAGTAAAAATATAATTGAGTGGATGGTCATGTGTGATAGTGGATATGAAAATGTAATTTAAAGTTAGTAGATCAATTCTTACATTAAGTCTGAGTTTTATACATGTAAGGAGGCTCGATTTATGGGCCTAAAGGTAAACATTTTAGAACCCAAGCCTGAGGAAGAAAATTTGCACGGGTCATGTTTGCTGCAACGAAGTACAATTTTAGTAAAACGCACAATTTTGATTTTCAATGAATTTTCATGGTTTAGAGACCTCATTTTTTTACCGTTCCTGACTTCTAATAGCTGCAGAATATCCAGGGCAAAGAAAAAAAGCCAAAGAAAAGTTGGAGAAACTTGTATTTAGTGAGAAATCAAGGATTTCGCTCAAAATTGCTCCGATTAAGCTTTTTTTCTCCTTATTCTCTTTACTTTGTTGTACATGTTGCTGATTTTTGCTATCATTAAGGCCATGATTGGCCGACTTTCTCTCAATTTAAGGCAGTTATAAACTAATTATCTGATTAGAACATATTTAAACTATTTATTTAATAATAAAATTTGTTCTATTTATTTAATCTTATATTTATTTATATACTTAACGATTGGCCATTATTGAGTACGAATTTAGGAGTTTAAGTTTTACATTGAAAGATGAATGTTTAAATTATACCATCAGATTGAGTAATATGATATTATAATTTATTTTAACTTATCAATAGGATAGAAATATACCTATTGAACCCGTATAATCATATTAAAATGAGTTTGTACCTTTTTTATCTCTTGAATATTTGTGTCAGGAATGATATATTAATTCAATAGAGGAATATAATTAATTAGAAGATAATTATTCTTATTAATACTATAGATTAACCAATTAATATTAAGTGAGTTTAGTTAGATAATTACATGCCCTATGAATTAAAAAGGGAATTAGCCACCTTAGGCTATCTTGATTATTTATAGTTGTTGGAACTGTTATTTTAGTACATTTTTATATTTTTAATTTCTTATTTTATAAAATCAAATTTAAATATTGCTTCGCTCAACTTAAATGAAAGTGTGGACTTTATTATATAGTCGCTATTTCACTTGATTTCTCATGAGATCGACCAACACATTAATATATTATATATTAACCTGTACACTTGTGGTAAAATAAATTTGTGTGCGTTAATTATCAATCACATTACATCACATCATTTCTCTTTAATATTATTTCACAACTAAAATATTAAATGAAAATATATTTAGAAGTTTATATTTTTATTCTAAAAAATGAGAATATAAAGTGCAATTAATGAACTTTATTGATCTAATAAAAAGTGTATTATAAAGTAACAAGGAATAAGTACTTGTCACACCCGAAAAAATGCGACGCGGACGAGAACCGGATCGAACGAGGAGTCGCCACCAAGATTTTGAGGTAAATCTCAGGAAATCGATTAATGGAAGATAAGGGTAATCTGCGAAATTAGAGAATAGGTTCGGGAGTCGGTTGAGTGTGGGGAAGGTGTTAGGCACCCCACAACACCCGTTCGTGAGAACAGTTACCTGAAGTTTGTTGTGCTCTATTAATATGGTTTTAAAATTATTTTAATTATCCCTTTTATATTCATGTGTTTGATATAAAAATGATGATAATTGAGTGAGAAATGTTTATTTATTTATGAGGGAGGACGGACTTGACTCAGAATCTGACTCTGAGGCCTACGTACCCTGTGATGGGGATCAAAGTCCACGTAGTTCGGGCTTAAAAGTTTGTCGGTAAAAATATTTTTTGAAGAGAAATTAATTAGAAATAACTCATCATTTTGCAAATAAAACAATTTCTGAAATTTTGATATGTGTGTTTTAAATTGCAAAAGGTAATTTAATTTTAATTATTTTCTCAATTTTTGAATTTTGAGTTAAAGAAAAGGAAATGGTTTAAAATCATTTTTTTATCTTTTGTGATTGGAAATTTTAATTGCAATACCTACAGAACCTTATTGGTTCATACGGTAATGCAATTGCTCTAAATATCTGCGGAGATTTTGAAATCTCACACGATAGAAGAGTTTAGCAATTTAATTTATTTTATATTCTTATGTATATTTTTAAGTGTTAATAATATATTTTAAGTGTGTATATACATGTTTTAAAGATTCTTAATCATCATACCTGCAAATGTTTATTGGCTTATACGGTAATATGATTATCCTAAATATCTGTGAAAATTCTAAAATCTCACACGATAAAGGAATTAAATTTAGATTAATTTAATATATAATTTATATATGTATTTTGAAAACTTAATCGTTATATCTGCAGGGTCTTATTAACTCATACGATAATACAATTATCTTAAAAGTCTACGGAGATTCAAAAATCTCACATGACTAAAAGATATAATTAGTAAATATGAATACAATTAAAATACATTAATTTGGTTAATTAATTTTTTAAATTGTGTATTATATGATTATTTACAAAAAATCATTTATTTATTATAAAAATTGAAAATCACTATATCTGCGAGGATTTATTATCCAACACGATGATGTGATTAATTTAAGTCTCTATGAAGATTCTTAAAATCTCACATGAGACTTAAATATTTATTATAAAATTGATTCTCATACCTGCAAAATCTTATTGATTTACACGACACGAGATTATCCTGAATATCTGTAGAGATTCAAAGTCTCCCACGATAAAAGGATTAAATAATATTCACTTTGAACATATTTTAATGCGTAATTACACGACGCATATTTTTAAATATAAAAATCTTAATCATTATACCTGCGAAGCCTTATTGACTCACACGGTA